TCAAAAACTACTTTAACGGTAAATCTATATTTATATATTTGAACTTATGTTTAAAATTTGGCTATTCTTTTAAAAATCATCTTGTATATATAGTTAGTTTATAGACTACCGTTGAACATTTGCTGTTTTTGGACATCATAACTGTCCGATGATGTTATATAAATATTTCTGTCTTGATATTTTGAGGGTAACAAAATACACACATAACATTATCTGGTTACCATGAGCATAGATGATGGTGGCAATAAAGATGTTTCAGTAGAAAATTTCGATTTGTTTTGAATTTATAGAAAGAGAAAGATATTCATTTTTGCAGGTTTTTGTTGGTGCAACGTTAGATGCAGGTTTCCATAGACTACAGCAGTCATTTACCATCAAGTAGACTGTACGTCGGCAGCAAATGTAGTTTAGTTTTATAAAAAAAGAAGGAATCCTTATTTTGAGAGTTGCTCAAACTAACCAAGCTGGGCAGACAAATTGATGAACGAAGAGTTCTGCACTCTACTGCTTGGTGGAATGAGAGACCATCCAGAATCAGCAAGGCATACAACTTTTATACCTGTAAATTATTAATTAATAACAAAGATTGCTAATATGTTGGTGCCGATCTCGAAGTCAATCTCTGTTCTCAAAAGCCGCTGCAATCAAAAATAAAATTAGTGTATGAGCTATGATACATATATACATACACGAATTCAGAATACTTTTGGATGTTAAAAACGCTATGAAGCTTATGCACATAGAGGGGAACAATTATCTTATAGGCGACTTGAATCGTTGGGAGGCTTAACCTGGTTTTGATCAGAGACAAAATTAATGCACATTTACGCTCAAAGAATTGTGTCGGTTGCTATTCCTTTGTGGGCCCGGTTGGGTACATCATTTCGCGCGATGAATGAATTCACAAACCGTAGTAAGAAATCCATTACCACATTTGATCCTATGGGTGTCGTAAGAGATGGCTTAAAGAAACCAGAAAGTCTTGTAGACTCCGGTAAGAGGCAAAAGAACTACCTCGCATTTTTATCAAATAACCATACCGGAGGCGTAGCACAGCGTTAAGTCCGGTTGTCAAGGGTGACGATTATTACTTTGGAAGAAGCATGTTCAGCATATCCTACAATAAATTATTTAGTGGCTGATATGAAGTGTTCAACCGTGCTACACGTCGAAAAGTCAAAATGGTATCTATGTCTTGTTGTGACTTACCCAATAACCAAACCTTAACTATGCATAAAATTTGCTTCAGAAAGGCTCTACCGATTTTATAAAACATTAATATGGATATATGGATACCGCCAGATTCCACAAAGTTATAAACAAAAACTACAACTATTATTTGAATAGTTTATATGAAAAACCCAGAAAAACCCTTGAATGTACTGGCAACGATACTAACATTACTAATCCCGTTTTACACTTTAAGTTACACGCTTGTATTAGAAGTCGAAACAACGAAGACAAAAGCCGAATGGCGAATCCCAATTCACAACTTTTTAATTTCGCAAATTGTACCCTTAATCGTAATCGAAACATTAGACGACAACGTCGCTTAAAATTTCCGCAATTTGCATAATAATAAAAATATTAATACTTAAATTGAATATGAACGAACAAAGTTGAATTAATTATTTGCAGGCCCCAAAATACTTTGACCGCGCTTCACGGACAAAGCCACGGCGCTACTATCAAACGCTTAGCCCCTGCCGTAACGAACTGTCTAGTATGACAATTATGAATCAATTGAATTATTGTCAGAATAGATAGCTCCGAATAATTACATTAGGAAAGACAATTAAAATACTTCAGCAAAGAAATATTGAAAGTTTTGTTTGCGTACCCCGTAAAATATTCATACCAAAGTCAGAAAAGAGCTTCACAGATGTGAGCTGGTTTAAGGACATCCATCTCTAAACGTGGTTGCTACGACAAGCTCTCCATACAAGGGAACATGTCCAGTAGGGGGCTATATTGGTAATGATTAAAATTTATTATGCATAATAGTAAGTAGTTAGGGACCTTCAAGAAAAAAATCTACTCATTTCTAAAAGGCCGGCAACGCATCTGCAATTCCTCTGGTGTTTCAGTTGTTCATGGGCGGTGGTAGTTACTTACCATCAGGTGAGCCGCATGCTCGTTTGCCCCCGCTCTTATAAAAAAATCCATTGCTGAATATATGATTTCATAGATTGTCTCATAGGGGAGATATTTACCTAGTCAGGTCATAAATTCTGTCACATGTTTAATATAAAATAATTGAAACAAGTTTATTCATTATGTAACCATTTATATACAAAAATGAACTTAACAAAACATAGATTCTTATGACACTAAAGTTTATTCAAAATGACCTCCGTGATTTTGAATACAGGCCTTCAATCTGCGCGGCCAGTCGTCTATCGCAGTACGAACGAGGTCCATGTCAATATCGGCGGCTGCTTTAATCATGGATGTCTTGAGTGACTCCAAATTGGGATGAGGCTTTGAGCAGGCCTTTTCCTCCAAGTGTTGCCATATCTTGTAATGTAACGGATTCAAATCTGGACTGGAGGAGGGCCAATCTTCGTGCCGGATGAAGTCGATTTCACGCGCCGCGTCTTGTGTGCTTTTCGCTCTATGAGCTGGCGCCAAATCTTGTTGGAATACCCAGTGCCTGTTATTGAACATGGTATGAGAAACAGTTTCCACAAGGTTCGTCAGGACTGTATTTTGATTCACAACTGCATTCGTTTTTACACCTTTCTCACAAAAATGTACCTCTGTTAAGCCCCAATAAGAAACTCCCAACCATACCATGAGCGAGGATGGAAATTGCCTCGTTGGACACGCGGAATATGGTTGCTCGCTTCTTCACTACTGTGTACACCTTATCATTTTGTTTGTTGTAGCTCTCTTCTACGGTAAAAATTTTTTCATCCGAAAAAAGAATTTCTCGATATTTTTTTCCCGCGTACCGCTTCAACAAGGCGCGACATCTCTTCAGTCTCAGGTCCATTAGACGAGCATTCAAACGATGTCCTGTTTTTCTTCGATATTCCCGAAGCCCTAAGTCTTCATTTAACACCCTTTTTACCGTAGTTCTGCTTAACCCCATCTGAAGGCCCAACAGTTTCTGCTTACGTTTGGGATTTCTTTGAATTCGCGCCTTCACAGCTTTTATCACTGCTGGAGTCCTAACAGACGGAGGGCAACCACTTTTTGACCTGTCATCTACACTAGAGTCTTCATTGTATCGTTTGATGGTACGATAAACGAATCTTTCGGTTATATTCAAATTTTTCAGTATGTCAAAAATTTGAATTGGCGCGTAACCGCAACGATGCAACGCAATTACTGCAACACGGTCTTCTTTAAGCGTCTCCATATTTAAAAATGAGTAAAATTCTAAAAAGTATACAGTTTTATTTTCATGAACAATTCGAAATTCGAATTCAATAAACTTTTTTGTGGCCAGCATTCTAAAAGAAAAGTTTTTACTGTGTGACAATACTTATGACCTGACTAGGTATTATCACCCCTGAGGATTAAGATAAAATACTGTTGCGCGCCACTATTAATGTCTTGTACATAGCAACACTAGTTACACTAGCGCCCTCTAGTGTCGAGTAGCAGAACTAGGAGAGTTAAGATCCATCTAGCAACTTCGGGACCGATATGTACTCGAACATTCTAGATGTCGCTACAGTAGAAGGTTCTGGACACTATCTGAGGCCCTATATAAGGCCGGTATAGACCACGACCAAGGCAGTATTGAATTGGCGATACAAGAGAACACTTCGAAGCGAAATAACTGCGAACTAAAGTGATTGTGTTTTATTATTAGTGTGGTTTTAGATTGTAATTAGTGTTGTGTAATTAAAGTGTCAATTTTGGTAATTCAATCGGCAGTTTTTAATTGTCTCGAACCCCAAGCTCGTAACAATACTTTATAATATAACTTATTTATATTTAAGGTCGTACAACTAAATGACAATGCCGAATAAATAAAGGTTATAATATAAACGAATCGTATTATTTGAGCTCTAGTGTAAATTTACGTTATCTTTTAGTCCATTTTGTTGACGTGCTCCAATTTATTACACCTTTCCACTGTGCATAAAATTGAGCCGTTTGTCTGTGCTTATGGCATTTATTTCAATTTATAAAGTAAGTAAGTCGTTAATCACAGACATCGCTATGTCAAAATAGTGGCGGAGAAGGCTTCTATTACAGTAATTAATGCTACCTGCTACCATAAATGAATTAATATACTCCACGCATGTTTAATTCAATGGAACCAATATAAGTCAGGCTATTTCTTATACAAAATATTATGCTATAAAATGCCTAGGGTGTGTATATTGTAATATATATTTCATGATTTTTCTAAACATTAATTATACATTATTATAATAGTTATTAAATTATTTTCTGAAAATATCACAAAATAAAATATCCGTAAACATAAAATGAAACATGGTATAAAGTTGAGTTGATTTGAAACAATGTCGTATAATTACGAGTATATATTCCAAAATCGAATATTAAGTTATAAACCGCTTTTATTAGCATAATCTATATGTACGCATGTTTTTTCAGATATATCATAAACATACGAGTGTAATGGAGTTTTATAATTTAGTTCTCCCCTACATTCAAAAATTTTGCAGATCTATTATTTTATTTTATTAGGTGGGCTGAAAAGTTCGTTATGTTTCTATGAGATGGCGCCACTAGAATAAAATCCATATCATTTTTACCAACCTTCAAAAGAAACGTGTATAAAATTTATATCTGTTTGATTATGAGTTTGTGAGATACAGCATTTTGAGTGAAGCAACTTTTGTTATTTTGATAAAAATGGATAAAAAGGAATTTCGTGTGTTAATGAAACACAATTTTTTGATGAAAAAAAAAGTGCTGCTGATACCAAAAAGTGGCTTGATGAGTGTTATCCGGACTCTGCGCCAGGCGAAGTAACCATTCGTAAATGGTTTGCTAAATTCCGTACAGGCCATAATATGAGCACTGAAAACGATGAACGCAGTGGACGTCCAAAAGAGGCTGTTACGGACGAAAACATCAAAAAAATCCACAAAATGATTTTGGAAGATCGTAAATTGAGGTTGATTTGTATAGCTGACCCTCTGAAGATATCAAAGGAACGTGTTGGATATATCGTTTATGAATATTTGGGTATGCGAAAGCTATGTGTAAAGTGCGTGCCGCGCGAGCTCACAATCGACCAAAAAGAAGAATGTGTCGATTCTTCAGAGCAATTTTTGAAGCTGTTCAACCGCAATAGAAGTGAATTTTTGTGTCGATATGTGACAATCAATGAAACATGGATCCACTATGGCTGGACTCTGGAGTGTGGACTCCAGAGTCCAGCCTGCCGTCATCTGAGTGGACGCGATGAACCGAATCCAAAGCGTGGAAAAACTCAACAGTCGGCCGGTAAGGTTATGGCGTCCGTATTTTGGGATGCGCATAGAATAATTTTCATCGACTATCTTGGAAAGGGAAAAATCATCAACAGCGACTATTATATAGCGTTATTGGAACGTTTGAAGGACGAAATTTTAAAAAAACGGCCCCATTTGAAGAAGAAGAAAGTGTTGTTCGATCAAGACAATGTGAAACCACAAATCGATGAAAACGATGACAAAATTGCATGAATTGGGCTTCGAATTCCTTCCGCATCCACCGTATTCTCCAGATTTGGCCCCCAGCGACTTTTTTCTGTTCTCAGATCTCAAGAGAATGCTCGCTGGAAAGAAATTTAAAGCCGATGAGGAAATAATCTCCGAAACAGAGACATATTTTGAGGCTAAACACAAATCATACTACAAAAATGGTATTGAAAAGTTGAAACATCGCTATAATCAGTGTATCGCCCTCGATGGCAACTATGTTGAATAATAAAATCGAATTTTGCATAACAAATGTGTTTTTCTATAAAACGATACGAACTTTTCAGCCCAATTGTTATGAAAACCCGATGAGTACTAGAAGCATCACAGTTGATCGTCAATGCTTATTAAAATATTAGAGTTTATAAAAACAGAACAAACAAAAAGTATTTTTTTTTTTGTAATTCCTTTTAGTTTAGGCCCCGCTGAGAAAAGTCATGTATTTTAACCATAGAGCAACACGAGCCACTGGCGGACTGGATATTTTTTTTTTTTATTTATATGATAGGGTGACAAACGAGCACACAGTCCACCTGACGGTAACTGGTTACTGTGACCCATAGATATCTACATCTATCCTCAATAAAGACCCAAGATGCAGATGCGTTATGACCCGTAAGGACTAAGATGGAATGCCTCTTTGCCAGTAAAAAGGGTCTCCGGTTCTCTACACTCACCATACGAAACACGGCAGCGTTAAGCTGCTATTTCACGTTGATTTTCTGTGAGAGCGTGGCCCTTCCCCGGTCGAGCCGACCCATTCGTGCTACAACTATACTACCAATATAGCTGCAGCGTGGCTCTACCACGTAAAATGATTATATAGCCGTTTTTCACACAAAAACAATCATCTGTCACTACCGAACTCACACCTAACTATTAAAACAATAAACTAACAATTTCACATACACGTAGATACATTACAACAATAGCGTTCATATATACAGCGACAACTCGGATCAGTCGCTTGACCGATCTGCATATTGTTGTCGGCCTGTGTTGGTAAACAAATCTGAAACAACACGACCGTCATTAATTAATGTAGTTAATAAATTTAGAAAAGTAAAGAGCAAAAATGTAATTAAAAAATACTTATATATAACGGCGCCTGCGCCGTCAAACGTGCCTTGCAGGAATTTCGCACCGCTCACACCTGCGCCGCTGCAAGTGTAACGGTACCTGCGCTGTTGCACGATTTGTTCGTTGACAACCTGATTTTTGCATCTGTTTTGTTCTGAATAACGACTTTATTTTTTTGCAGTGAAGAAACACGCTTGTGTTTATAGACAGTCTGTAGTATATCCACACGTTCTACCATAGTTTCTCTTTCAGCCTGGATTTGATCCCGACTGGCCCGAGGACTTGGTTGGTATCTCTCCACAACTGTGCTATCGTCTGCATACCCACAGATACCAGGCATAAACAGATCATTAATATGCAGCAGGAAGACACTTGCGGTGAGAACCAGCGGAGGCAGCGTGTTCCGACAGAAGTTTTGGGATCTTTTTTAAATTAATATTTATTATTGGTTCAGTATTTTTATTATTTATGGATATAACAATGATTTTTAATTAATGCTAATTTATAAAATTTCATTTGACGAATCTTACAACTAGATGTTGTTAAACCATTAAACAAAATTTAAATGTCTTTGTTTAACTGAATTTTTGTTAGAAATTTCAAGAATACCATAATTTAATAAATACCTTTGTAATTTTTTATAAAGAAACGGAACTAAACATGGATCTGTTGTTTATTTTATGGCCGCCAGTTCCGCACATACCGAAATGTTAGATATTTTGCTGTAATTGCCATTTAATTTATTGCAGCAAGGAAGTTTTTCTTTACTATGTATCCAAGTTAAAGTGTAATTCATGGCACTAAAACAAAGTTTTATCGAATTAAAGCAACAAAATTAAATCAGTGATTAAGAGTAAAAAGTGAAGTATCAGCGTACATATTATGTACGTCCCACCTCTAGAAACAGGCCTCTTAATTTCCGAGAGAGTTTTACTTACTTTTATTATTTATTCGATCGGACAACTAAAATCCAATGTTTGTCGTAAAGTCCATTGTTTATTAATTTTATTCTAAGCTAATTGTTTCAGGAGAGGACAGTACACTTTGTAATCAATGATCGCCAAGATACTGTGGAAGTTTCATTGGTTCCTATAAATGTCATGCCGCGCGCGGCTAGTTGAAAGGACAGATTCATCCGGGCTAGGCTTATGAATGTTTGATATTGAATGTCGGATTTGTGTGAAGCCGGTCGAAGGGACAATGTCGTACCGGGCCATGCCACGCGCGGCTGGTTGAAAGGACACATTCGTCCGGGCTAAGCTTATGAATGTTTGATGTTGAGGGTTGGATTTGTGTGAAGCCGGTCGAAGGGACAATGTCGTACCGGGCCATGCCACGCGCGGCTGGTTGAAAGGACACATTCGTCCGGGCTAAGCTTATGAATGTTTGATGTCGAGGGTTGGATTTGTGTGAAGCCGGTCGAAGGGACAATGTCGTACCGGGCCATGCCACGCGCGGCTGGTTGAAAGGACACATTCGTCCGGGCTAGGCTTATGAATGTTTGATGTTGAGGGTTGGATTTGTGTGAAGCCGGTCGAAGGGACAATGTCGTACCGGGCCATGCCACGCGCGGCTGGTTGAAAGGACACATTCGTCCGGGCTAAGCTTATGAATGTTTGATGTTGAGGGTTGGATTTGTGTGAAGCCGGTCGAAGGGACAATGTCGTACCGGGCCATGCCACGCGCGGCTGGTTGAAAGGACACATTCGTCCGGGCTAAGCTTATGAATGTTTGATGTTGAGGGTTGGATTTGTGTGAAGCCGGTCGAAGGGACAATGTCGTACCGGGCCATGCCAGGCGCGGCTGGTTGAAAGGACACATTCGTCCGGGCTAGGCTTATGAATGTTTAATGTTGAGAGTTGGATTTGCGTGAAGCTGGTCGAAGGGACAATGTCATATAGGGTCATGCCACGCGCGGCTGATTGAAAGGACACATTCGTCTGGGCTAAGCTTATGAATGTTTGATGTTGAGGGTTGGATTTGTGTGAAGCCGGTTGAAGGGACAATGTCTTACCGGGCCATGCCTTGCGCGGCTGGTTGAAAGGACACATTCGTCCGGGCTAGGCTTATGAATGTTTAATGTTGAGAGTTGGATTTGCGTGAAGCTGGTCGAAGGGACAATGTCATACAGGGTCATGCCACGCGCGGCTGATTGAAAGGACACATTCGTCTGGGCTAGGCTTATGAATGTTTGATGTTGAGGGTTGGATTTGTGTGAAGCCGGTTGAAGGGACAATGTCTTACCGGGCCATGCCGTGCGCGGCTGGTTGAAAGGACACATTCGTCCGGGCTAGGCTTATGAATGTTTAATGTTGAGAGTTGGATTTGCGTGAAGCTGGTCGAAGGGACAATGTCATACAGGGTCATGCCACGCGCGGCTGATTGAAAGGACACATTCGTCTGGGCTAGGCTTATGAATGTTTGATGTTGAGGGTTGGATTTGTGTGAAGCCGGTCGAATTGACAATGTCGTACGGATCCATGCCGCGCGCGGGTGGTTGAAAGGGCACATTCGTCTGGTCTAGGTTTATGAATTGTGGAGTTACACTGGTCGAAGAGACAGTGCCGTCCGGTCCATGCGTGGTTAAAGGGACGCATTGGTATGGTCCAGTTAGGTTGGTCGAACAGAGTACAGATAACAATATCGTCCGGGCCAGACCCGAGCGGTTGGTCGTAGGGACATACTAATTTGCAACTTTTTGTGATAGCTTGAGAGAAAGTTGCCGTCCAGTCTATGTGTGATCGAAGAGACGCACGCTTTCGATTATTGTATGATTGAGGAAGATAGTATATGTACAAAATAGTATCTATGTTTTGTAAAAGTGTATATCTTCTATCGATGCTAATAGTGCCGTGTTAGCTGTACAAAGAAATGTATGTCTGTGTGTGCTTAATGGAAAGAGCCAGCTGTCCGGTCCATGTTGTCATATGAGATGACGACTGGTCGAAGAAATGCTCTCACTCACTGAGTTATACGTCATCATATGAGATTACGTGTAGAGAGCCAGTTGTCTGGTCCACGTTGTCATATGAGATGAAGGCTGGTCTCTGCGTATGTGTGTGTAAATGTCCAACGATAGGGACAGTGTACCTATTCATATCAGGATAAACGATCGAAAGTAGTGGTGATTAATGGTGTTTGTTACAGGAATCCATGAAGATACATGACCCAGGACGGTCATATGTCATGATTGACCATATAGGCACGTCAATAAAATACTGGCCAGATCGAGAGTAAAGGTTTTATTATAGCGAAGCGTCGTCGTATCTGTGGTAACGTGGCAACCGTTGTTGTTTATAGGATTTTTGAAGAAAAACCATCATCGGGGAAGCGTACCATATATTTGCGACGAATTGAAAAGGATCTGCTTATATTTTCTTGTATTTTATATTGTAACGCACGCATATTTGCACCATCCATCATGAGTATGAGTGCATCTGTCAGTCATCTATATATATATATATATATATATATATATATAGAAATGCTAAAGATCTAATAGTTTATTAGGCGACCTACAATCCGCCTGCTAGTGTTGACTTTAACGGACTAATCTACAAATTTTTCCTAAAAAGAGGCAACGAAAGAGATCCGTTAGATTGTAGTAGTGGATTTTACGGCCTGATTGTATATTACATAGGTCAGTGCGCGTCACTTATCTGCATCACCACTTACCATCAGGTGGCATAGTAGTCAAGCACTCAAAATATGTATAAGTCGTTGTTATTATGTGGCAAAATTCATAATTCAGAATATATTTTTTAATATTCATCGTGGGTACTTAAGTGGGTATTAGTCTCAAAGGGATCCAAATAAATAAATTTTATGAGAAAATGTGAATAATAAAAAAGCACTTCAACGAGAACTTTTAACCACTAGAAAAATTTCAAAGTTGTTCAAGCGTTACTCCCCAGTGAGATCAATATAGCGAGTCCACAGTCAATAAAATAAAATATAAAGAAACTGTACAAGAGCAACTTAGTAGCAGTGGGCATAAGTTCTATAATGTAATTCTGCTGCGCTGATGCGAAGATTTTCATGGTCCACTTTACTTTACTTCACTAACCTATAATAATTACGTGAACAAATTATATCTGACCATTAATAATAGGCTTTATTGTTAATTATACAATGAATGTGTGAAGTATG